CATGCGTTGTGACAGGAAGAGCACCGGAAGTGCTGTACAAACGCTGCGAGTTAACGCATGAGTTGACCAAAGTTCAACTCTTGCGTTATTGACGCGTGTGCCATTGGTTTGTACAGCACTTCCGGTCGCAAGGCTGATATTGTGTACCAGGCCTTATCCAGTGCATGTACCATCCTGTAGAAGGTTTGAGTGTCTTTGAAGTGTTTACACAACAACTTGTTAATGATATTCATTAATTCATTGAAGTGAGACCCACGATAGCCTGGTACAAATTAGCTCCTTATAACCTGCTAGCCTTCACTGGATCCTGTCAGTGTTATTGTAGCATAAGGAACCTTCCGACATCCTTATTGCAAAAAATTTTTGAATGGACTCTCAAGTAGTCCTGTTACTGCTGTTATAATTGTAAAATTCACAAAAATAAAATATGATTGACTTCAATGTCAAGTACATGTACATACATGCATTGATTAAGATCCTTCTGAAGCGTTTACACAAGATAGTTGTTAATGATATTCATTGATTCATTGAAACCCACAATATCCTGGTAAGAATTAGCTCCTATAAACCTAACCTGACTCTCAATAATGTATCTGTGTATATGGAATTCTATTCCATTGGAAGAAAAATTCAAATTTTTGAATGGACTCTAGCAGCCCTGTTATGTACATAGGTGAATGTTAGTGATGGGCGAATCCAGAAATTTGCAATCGATTCCGATTCCTAGTACTTTTGGGACTAGAACCAATGGAATCAAATAATGGAATTAAAATTGAAATCTGTATAGCTAGAAATTTCTGTGGCCCAACATTTTTGTGAATTTGAAAAAAAGTACAAAAATTAAATCCTCAAAAATAAGTAAATTAAAAGGTGTAGCTTACCACGCCTGCACATGGCATTTTCCTGGCACTGTTCCACAGAGTCAAAGAGTAATCCTATCTTGCCTAATATCCTGATAGAGCTTTGTGTCATCATCAACTATAGTTCTGGTAAGTAGTGAAGAGCAGCCATTGATCAGTAGTGTGATCAAGTGAATTCGCAGAAATAAAATCTGCAAAAGCCATTTTTTAGCAATTCGCAGAAATTTTGGGCCACAGAAATTTCTAGCTATACGGTATTAGTTTTCTAAGACTTTCTGTTTGTGAATTATATTTGTAATAATTCATAATAAACTTTGAGGGATAATATATTAAAAGTTCTCTCTCTCTCTCTCTTTCTCTTTCTCCTTTAGATGATTCATCTTGTTCTGTTCCCAGTCCAATCATGAAATTAGTTCAAAAACAGAATTTAGACTATCTACACATCAAGTCTCATTTCTCCATTCCTTACTACCAGTTCATGAAGCAATTATTAATCATTAATTACAATTTTGCAAAGACACAAATTGATGCCAACAATCCTAACGAACCAATGGTAAGAATTAATGTATCTACACAATCAATACATGGATAAAAAAATGTATTAAAAATTTGGAGTGATTTTGGACCCATTTTTAGAAAAAACCATGTGGTATAATAGCCTTGGGTATTTTTCAATTTTTGGCATTTTCTTAAAACGGCCGTAACTTAAAAAATTGAAGTCGGAATCAGCTCAAACTTGCTACACAGCATAAGGACATCAATATGTATCAGAAAATGTAATAAAAATTTGAGGTGATTTTGGGGTCATTTTTTGGAAAAAATCATGCGCTATAGCCTTGGGTATTTTTCTGAATTTTGGCATTTTCTTAAAATGGCCGTAACTTGAATAATTAAAATCAGAATCAGCTCAAACTTGCTACACAGCATAAGTACATCAATATGTATCAGAAAATGTAATAAAAATTTGGGGTGATTTTGGAGCCATTTTTTGAAAAAACCATGGGCTATATATAGCCTTGGGTACTTTTCAGAATTTTGGCATTTTCTTAAAATGGCCGTAACTTAAAAAATTGAAGTCGAAATCAGCTCAAACTTTCTACACAACATAAGGACATCAATATGTATCAGAAAATCTAATAAAAATTTGGAGTGATTTTTTGGCAATTTTTTGGAAAAAACCATGGACTATAGTCTTGGGTATTTTTCTGAATTTTGGCATTTTCTTAAAATGGCCGAAACTTGAAAAATTGAAGTCGAAATCAGCTCAAACTTTCTACACAACATAAGGACATCAATATGTATCAGAAAATGTAATAAAAATTTGGAGTGATTTCGGAGCCATTTTTTGAAAAAAAACCATGGGCATAGCCTTGGGTACTTTTCAGAATTTTGGCATTTTCTTAAAATGGCCGTAACTTGAAAAATTGAAGTCGAAATCAGCTCAAACTTGCTACACAGCATAAGTACATCAATATGTATCAGAAAATGTAATAAAAATTTGGGGTGATTTCGGAGCCATTTTTTGAAAAAACCATGGGCTATAGCCTTGGGTACTTTTCAGAATTTTGGCATTTTCTTAAAATGGCCGTAACTTGAAAAATTGAAGTCGAAATCAGCTCAAACTTTCTACACAACATAAGAACATCAATATGTATCAGAAAATGTAATAAAAAATTGGAGTGATTTTGGAGCCATTTTTTGAAAAAACCATGGGCTATAGCCTTGGGTACTTTTCAGAATTTTGGCATTTTCTTAAAATGGCCATAACTTGAAAAATTGAAGTCGAAATTAGCTCAAATTTGCTACACAGCATAAGGACATCAATATGTATCAGAAAATGTATACATAAATTAATATTCTCCTTTTCTCATTTTTATAGGAAAACTTTGAGAAGATAGGTAGTCTTTGTATGAAGCTAGTGACAAAGTTTTTATTCCACAGTGGGTTCCACACTAAGAAGACACTGAGGTACTATAATAAATAAAAATTTTTATAATGATATGTGCTTACCTTTACTCCATACAGAGGTCCTGCTAACGACTGGTTTGATGCCATGAACCCATACTTGTATTACAGTTCAAGGATCAGGAGGTGGTTCTGTGATGAAGTGTTCATTAAACACAGAGAAAGGTTCTGTGCTTACCTGTTAGAGTGCCCATCAACTGAAGTATGTGTACATACACTAACCATTGATATCAGAGACTGTGTACAGTGTATATCTATGCACTATCAGTCAATAGTACCAGTATTATTAGTGTATGGTAGTGCTGGGGAATGCTGTCACTTGGTAGCATTACTGAATGTACATGTACATATACATGTACTTATGTTGTGTAGAAAGTTTGAGCTGATTCTGATCAAAATTGGATTTTTATGAATGTTTTAAAGTTGCTCAAAAATTCAAAAATTTGACCTACAGTCCATGCATTAAGCTAGTGAATATTATACATGTACATGTACTATTAATTAATTAATTATTAATTTGATTCTTTTCCTCCAGTTAAGGAACATGTTTGCTAAGTTGATCCCTCATTTGTGTCACATCACCAACAAAGATGAGAAATTTGAAATACACTTGAACACTGCCACTGGAATACGTAAGTACTTAATTATCTACATCTATTGATTTATTTACATATTTATTAATATTATTTATTTATTTATTTGTTTATTTATAGATGTTTCAGAGCACTTGTTCAGTGACATTGCTCTCAACCAGTTATTGACATTACTAAAGAAGGAGGTATCTGATCACAGCAGACACTTACACCAGTACTTCCAAGTCTTCCTAGCCTACGCTCATAAAGGAGCCTATGAAGTAAGAACCAGAATAATAATAATAATAATAATAATAATAATAATAATAATAATAATAATAATAATAATAATAATGATAATGATGATGATGATGATGATGATGATGATGATGATGAGCCCTTTAATCTACAAGGCTGAGCCCTTTAATGTTTTACATTGTTTTTAGTAAATAATAACATTGTTTGTGTGTAGCATATTGACCTTTAACTGCAAAAACATGCAACTTTTGAAGATGTACATTATGAAAACGTGTATTTTAAAACAAAAATAAATTATGAAAGATTTGTACATATACATACATGTACCTGGGTAACATGACCCCATTCTGCTCAATGACAATCAATACTTATAAACTATACACTAATAATTATTAGTCAGTCACTACTAGTCCTCATTATTCATTGGTCTATTACTCTACTCCAGGGTACTGAGGTATTACCTAATCCTTATGCTGATCCTGAGTTGTGTGAGAAACTATCAAATGATCTTCTACACTGGCTCTATGAGAGAACTAGGTATAATGTATACTATTAATTATTATTATTATTAATAATATCAATTATTAGTATCCAGCAGAGTACTACTTATGTTAAGAAACTGATTGAGGACAATAGTCCGATTGAGGAGACACTCCGCTTCCTAGGGGTGCGTTGCCATGGAAACCTGTACATGTATTACATGTAATTTTTAATTTTAGTTTTGCTCGTGGGAAAATTGGGAATTTTCGGCTGTCGTAATAGCAGACCTGCTAATGGAGGTGAGGATTAGTTATTAATAGTTATAAGTAGTTATTAATGGTTATTAGTACTTATTGATTAATTAATGGCTATTATTAGTTATTAATAGTTGTAGTTATTGATGTTTATTAGTAATTATTAATAGTTATTAGTAGTTATTAATGGTTATTAATTCTTCACAGATTGCTACAGTGCAACCTTTTGATATGAGACCTTATCTTGATCTACTGTACCATCTACTAACAATGGCAGACTCATGGCAGCACACCAGAATAAGAGCTATGTTCTTAGGTGAGGACATGTACAGACTAGCCTCTATATAATGGACACTGTGTCTCTGTTATACAGAGGTGTCCTTTATGTGGAGGTTATTTTATACAGTAAGGAATGTAATTGGTACACTAGGTGCTGTCCGTTAAATGGAGGTGTACGCTATAGAGAGTGTCCATTAAGAGAGGCTATACTGTACATGTACATGTATATATTGATCCTATTCTCCCTCCACAGGTCTACAGGATAGAGTGGATGGGATGATGACAATGATACAACACGGACAGACTCATGTGGTACAGCAGAAAAGAGCTTATCTCTGTATCAAGTTCATTATTAACTTATGCTCAAGGTATGATAAAATAATAATAATAATAATAATATACATGTACTTGTATATACAATTTTGTGAGACTACTAAATTTTTTAATGTAATAAAAATTGGAGGTAACTGTGGAGCCTTTTTTCAGAAGAAACATGGGCTATATTACAATTATACTAATATACCGTATAGTGGGTTTTTAAGGGTAATATTTTTCACAAATGGCCTGTATCCGGATGTTCACAAAATTAATTTTCACGAATTACCACTATTCTGCCATCTTGTACCATATTAAATTGTTTTTCAAGGAATTTAATCTTGCAAATCTTAAAAAAAACCACAAAATTAACAAAATTTGTTATCCTCAAAAAATCCACTATATGGTACCGTATAGGGGTTATATTTCACTGGAAATAAATTTCGCGAATTTCACGTTTTCATTGGATTCGCAAAATTAAATTCCACAAAAGAGGTGTGGCACACTAGGAAAAATGGCTGCAGAAGGGTAGATTCGCGAAATTTTATACCAACAAAATAAAACCCTATACGATAGTACAATTATATATGTACATATACATGTACATATATAATTTATTGACACATTTAATAGCATACATTGTTATATTGTTAGGTGTCAGTTGACAATGGTGGTGTTAGATGAGGATGTTCATTTGAAGAGGTTGTGGCAGTTCTCAATCCAATGGCTACAGAATGAGCTTGACAGAAGACAATACACCACATCAACTTACCCATACACTGGATGGTCACCTCCTGCTCAGTCCAATGAAGTATCTAACAGGTTAATAATGATAATAATAATAAGTATTATTAATAGTATTAGACTAGTACATGTAGTATTGTAATATGTGCTGTAGTATTGACTTTGTTTTAAGTTAACTCAATATCCAGTATTCATATGGTAATGCTAATGCACATGTATTATAGTACAGGGTATTTTAGGAAAAATGACAAGGAGTGAATTATAAATTTTCCTGATAAATGTACACGTTCTTAAGCTGTGTATCAACTTTGAACTGATTCAGATACAATTGGATTTTTTTTAAAATTTTTAGTATTGCTCTGAAATTAGGCCCAAGTCCCTGTATTCTATAGTAGAGCCACACTGACTTTGTCAACTTTGAATTGAAGTAACTTTCTTATTTAATATACTACAGACAGCAGCTTTTTTCCATGATACTTTTCATGAGAAAGCGGGTGTTTTAATATATGATACAACTAGAGTGCAGTTGCAGAAAAGGAGAAGAGAAATCAAAGCACT